GCCCGTTCAGTTCTCGCTAAAAATTTGATGTCATACCTGAATGGGGGAAAACCTTTTTCATTCCGTAAATATACCCTTCACTGACACTGTCCTTCTACACTTATGTTCAGGGGCTGCCCCAAACTATAAATAATGTCCAATTATCCTTCGAGAAGGAGTGGCAATGATCAACCCGTACCCAAAAATGGAAGGGCGTCTAATAGGCTGATGTCACCTTCATTGAACCATGAAGCGCCATGATATTTATAATGAACGGTAATGCACGGAGGTCTGATCTTGAGAGCACTTGGAAAAAGTAGTTGTTAGGAATAATGATAAGTCTACTGACTATCTATAATACAAAACGACAATGTAGAAGTTTCTTGCAGTACCTCTGCAGCCTGTAGCATTACCCTGGTCAATGCATTTACTCCCACATAACCCGATTCATAAAAGATTCAAAGCGATCTGATAACGCTGAACAGGAGATAATGCTTATGGCGAGGTTCGATGAGCATCAGATCAATGTTTCACCTTCCTTGTAATCGCAAACCGCATCATTTTTTAGAAGCCTACAAAGAGCTTACGACGGGTTGAGATCGTATGTTGCTCAATTTCTGAGCTGTGCAACAGTGTTAGCGGAATTCTAGATCCTCTGTGCTTGTATGTGTGTGTAGAGAAACTAAGGTTGTTGTCCTTACCACGGCTTAGTGAATAGCGTCAACCGCGTGCACCTTCTGCCTACTTAGAACCCTAGTTTTGGAGCATGGTTCAAAGCAAGAAGGACTGTAAAATCAGGTGACGTTCAGCCGAATATGATTGTGCTTTTAACTTAAACATCGATGTTCAAAAGTGCTTCTTTTAGCGCAGCTGTTAATATCAATATCCCGATCCTGACGTACGTAGCAGAAAAACATGCACCTGTTTGTTCCACTGGCTTAAAAGCTGCTTTAAAGCTGCACAAGGAACAGTCCCTTTTCACGAACTCTTCTTTGCGGAATTCAAGACTTCAATAACTGCTTCCTTTACAACTGCGCCAAAAACCTACTTCCGATCAACTAATGTAAAATCTAAGTGCACTTTACACCTTTAAGACGCTCTTCAGAGGATCGGAATAGAGAGCGCCACAGGGATATGGTAACTCCTCTCCAAAAATCGCTTCGCGTTCGCTGCATCCGTTCGCTTGGTGAAAGCCCNCCCCCCCCCCCCCCCTTCCCACTATTTTCCATCTTGTGAAAGATGAAGGATCCTGACGGTCCTGATGCGACTACCTAAAGTTGCATCACCATTTCCTCAATGCAGAGTGGCTTACCCATTTTTGCACTGAGCTCCTCAAGTGCTCTGCTCTTAGAGGTTGTGGGGCACTAGTTGCTAGTGATGATGTCAAATCCTAACTGCACTTTCATGGCGATCGAGTGGAATAATGAAGTTGATGCCCAAGAATGAAGGATTTCGGGACATGAAGAGTCGCTGAGGCCTGATCGCCGAGGACAACTGATCCAGTTCTAGCGAATCAACCACCAGCGGTAGTTATCTTGCTGTACATCACAGTTGCCAATGTTGTTGAAGGAATCAATCTGATGTTGCATTGAATGAGGAAGCTACATAGTTCCGGTCATCCTCGCTTTGTTTATGGTTGATGTAGAGTCTGGCAATACGCACTGCGCCAATATTCGCCACTCGCTGACAGTTTGTTCTTAAGAAACGAGTATAAAAACATATGCCAAATGCGGCGTAAAAGCGACCCAGTACTATATCAATCCGAAGCATGGAATTTTCCGTTCAAGAACTAGCAGAACAGGAAAGACTGCTGTTGACCTCCGCGTATGGAAAACTCTTGAACAAAAGTAAAACTAGACACTAGGCAAGCGCATAAGAGTCCAACAATAACGCTCCAGCGGGTACATTTTGTGACGGTGGCACTCAGAATTACCTAGTGATTGCAATTGTTCTGCAATCACTAGAGAGCTCTTCAAATTGTCTCGGACTAATTTTGGAGTTTAATGTTTGTTTACTGAGAATTATAAGTTGAGAAGAATTACTGGTGGAGAGGACTTTCCGAATGATAGTGTAGTCTTACCTTCTTAGGAATATCATCAAACAAATTGAATCTGTTATAGAAAAAAATGAAAAGGCCTTGATCGCAAACTAGACTTCTTGTCGGAGACGGTTTCCTGTTAAAGAAGGGCCAGGTCTAGGCTCCTCAGATCAGCTTGCAAAATAATATCTTATGCTAAAAAGTTTTTCAGATTCCGTTCCGAGGCATCTAAGACAACACCTATGGATTAGTTACATCACTGTGAGTACCCAATAATGTCATTGTAGCTGAACACTGAGCTTTCCTAACTTTCAGGGTAGAACGGTGACTCGACTCGCTGGTTTCCATATTTAGACTACACGAATTTGAACTTTTTACTATTCCACGTCATTCCTATGCACACGATATGTAGATATTGTTCAGTGGGGAGTGTTGGGTTAATTAGCCGTTCCCCACCACTGCGAACCAGTTTGGTGCCATCATAAAAACATTTATGATCAAAATATACAGGATCGTCGTAGAAGGTCAAGTTCAGTTCATACTATACAAGCGGATTAAGAAGGTATGTGGTACGGTCATTAGTCAGTAACGTGTTGGGAGCTCTTTTCTAGGTAAGTGTAGAGAAGTGTCATCGCTACAATCACCCCTAGCTGGAACAAATATGGAACATCTGGATCTGACTGGATAGAGGTCGAGTGGGCTTTCTTTTGAGAGTGTTTGCTATGCTAATGGTAGCTGAGCAGCGATTCCGAGAAGCAATTGCCTAATCACTTTTTCAAGAATCTATCGGACGTTTCGATCGAATGATATTGCTGTTAGAGATGGCTTCTTCGAGGTTATCACAATTGGGTGTATTGCATGGTTGACCAAAACGAAGTAGCACGGATTAGGCCGGCAAGCAAGCATACAGCTGTTTGGCACAGAAAATGGATATACTTTACTAGCAAAATTCAAAAAATACTAGTCCATTTGGCTGCGAATGCGTGAAAGAATTCTCTCTTTCTGGAAGTAATAGGATGAATTATTCTTCAAAGTCACAAATGCTCTCCCAGGTTAGTTTCAGAGGTTTCCTCTTAGGTTGAAGGCTCCTTATTAGGTTTTGCCAAAGAATAAGTCGGCATCATCAATGACTAAGGAAGGGGAAGTGACAATGAAAAGATATGAAGCTGTTAGGAGAAATTCACTATCAATTTGTTGTAAATCAAAAACTCACCAGGACCATAACCCAGTCCCATTCCGCCAAAACCCATTCCATATGGATTGCCATAAAGGCCTAACTGGCCAGTAACAGATCCGGCTATCAATAGGAATAAACAGCATGTTCTGTGCATTTTACGAATAACGGCTCTACTAAGCCGTTATCTGAAGGCTGAAAAGACTTTATACAATTGAACACGGACCGAATATGACGCTTGAATGGTGTGGCATAGAGAAAAACGGGGTGTAATCCGATATTGGGGCGCATTAACAATGAGCTCGACGGTACTCTCATTCACCACCGCTGAGGTCGATTTTCTGGTTTGCTGGTCTGCATTTCGGTCCTGATTCAAAGGAAGCCCATGCAGTTGAAAAAAATAAAATGACGAAAATATTAGTTGGATTCCTTCCAAGGCGTTGAGACTTGAGCTTTCGATGAATGATGCTTCCGCAAGATCGTGCAGTCTGCTTATGTATTGAACGTGTGCAGGAGATAAGCTGTCGTATATTATTGTATGTTCGAGTTGTTTCTCTTTCCTGCCAAGGATTAGAGCAACAATAGCTCACCCGATTTTCCTCTGATTGGTTTGGGTGAGGTAGTGGCAATGGCGCACGCTCACTGATGCCCAGGGATTTGAAGCCTAGATGGAACTCACCTAGTATGTGCACCGAGCCTTCAATTCCTCCAAAGCCAGCCGGTAATTCGGTGAAAGACTCGTTCAGGTAGAAATACACTGAGTACAGTACATCCGCTAGGCATCGCAGGCCATTGTATAGTGTACATCGCATTCGAACACCATTGCGATTATGAATGGAAATACAATGAGGGAGCTTATGTCGAAAGATGGATCGATTTGAGCTAAGGGTTTTATTCTTCATTATGACCTGCTTCCTCCACCCTTTTACAAACATTTGAAGTGTATTCCTAAGTCGGGAGTGGTCTTGAAAAGCCGAATTTTACGTGTACCTGTTTAAAGTGAGTTGAAAGGTAAAGAGGGTTTTCGTATTTCACTCGTTCAAAACCATCAAACAGCCCTGATGACGGTATGAAGGTGTACGCATAAAAAATCTTAATTGCTTCCCCGCTTCCCCACTTTCTAGTACGGGCCGACGTGAGGTTTTGAAGCCCTGATTGACATTTATTGGTGTAAATGAGTGTGACATCCGGAAAACTTTGTAAGCGACTATATCTGTGACCGCATTCCACAACAAGCTTTTCGTTCAGGTTACTTAGCAGTAGAAGCATTCTTCTCAGGTTACTTAGCAGTAGAAGTAGAAGGTGGAGGGTTAGCGTGGGGAACCCCTGACCTCCAGACTTAGGCCCTAAATACTGTCCAAATTTGGGTGATCAACTTTTTAACATGCTTTCAGGCAGACAGCTTTCCCTGGGTCAAAATGTCCATGATCTATCACTAAAGCGAGACTTAGACAAATTTCTCAATAATACTGCCCTGTCGTCTTTAGCAAGTGATTCCGCTACAGACCTCAGATTTGACCCAATGATTCAGCTTCAGATCCAAAGCTTAACCCACCTCAGCTGGGCCCATCACATGTTCAGGTTACGCTGTTTTTAGTGCCTTCATCTTCGCCGCGATCATACAACCTGTGTTATCAATGCAGAAAAGTCAAGGACATCTGATAACGCAAGCAACATTTTCTGATGAAGTTAACATAACGAAGCTTTGACGATGAAATCAGGTTGGTTATGTCTCTTTTATTATAATGGCACGTTTATCTCCATAGAATTAGTGGTGAAAATCTGACGGAATTATTATACTTTCGCAGGCTATTTCTTGTAACCCCAGCCGTAACCCCAGCCGCCATATCCACCGTAGCCGCCATAACCACCATACCATCCACCATAACGGGCATTTCCATTTCCTCCGTTTCCATTTCCACCACCATTTCCACCTCCATTTCCGTGAGGACAGGGTGCATACGTGGCACATCCGCACCCATAATATCCACCGTATCCACCGTATCCACCGTAGTATCCTAAAATATTTGTGATGACTGCTGAAGAGTTCGGGATATGGAAAGAAATTCATGCAATATTCTCCATTGAGAGTCAAGGGCTGCATTAGAAAAGAGACGAAAGCATATGGAGCAGATGAAAAAATCAGAATAACACCCAAAGATTACCACCGTAATACTGCCTCTTGTGACGGCCCACTTCACTTGAACTGACGGCCGCCAGCACTACCCAAGAGACGGCAACGAGCAGAAGAAGCGAAAGAATGAGACGCATCTGAAAAAGACTCATCGAACAATCGTTTTCGTAGAGCTCAACCAGGAGGCTAACATGATTAGTCATCGTTCCTCTTATTCTGAACATTTCAAGTTTCGAGTGGTGAACAGCTTCCCGATCAGATTTGTAGCCTTCCCACAGGCTTAGGTCATGGACAAGCAACTACACTCAAGTTTAGGCATCCTTGATTTCCCCATTTTCATGCGTTCTGCGTACAAGCTTCGTAACAAAAGGAGCTAAGATTCCAAGTTCTCACTGAGAAGATATCTTGGCATAAATGTATTCGTTGCCCGTCACCTGCATCTTCTATTTTTGTATTTTACTTTTATCACACAACTCAGGTTGTCTCTTCTGTTGAATAATACACACCCTTACTCTTGCTACACCTGGAAATCTCCTGAGGTCGCAGGAGATGTTCTAGGGGTAAGCCCAACTAAGGGTGTGTGCTGCTCAACAAGAGAGAACAGTAAAATAAGTGGGAATTCGAACTCACATTTATAGTACGGCTGAAAATGGAGAGGCTGCAGTTCGGTGATTTTCTTCGCAAACCTCAGTTTTTATACGGCTTGTTTATTTATACAGCAGGTTCATGAACTGGGCTGAATACTAATATGCCAAAAAGGCCGTGAACCCATCCATGAATATTTGATTCGGTACGAAGATCATTGGCATCTCTGGTAATGCAAACAATATTGCAGGCGTTTTCTGAACCGAGTAAAGATCGAAAACTATGAACGTTAGGCTATGATTACTTTCAACATCCAAAACTTCTCCCTTGTCGTTGAGATCTTTTTCCAAAGCTTCTGATATTTCTCGTCTTTCCAGATTTCTCCTTTCACCTGCAGTATGCTCATCTTGATTCAGAATGATCTTGATCACTCCACGTGCAGCTCTCAATCTCGATTAGTCTTCCACAACTTTATTCTGAGTATTCTTCACCTGNCGCTTTTGTTATTGACAACTTTGTCTTAATTACAAACTTATTCGAACCATTACTGATCGTAAGGGCATACTGTGCTTTCGATGAGCTTCTGCTGAAAAGGTAGAGACTGTTGTATGCAGCATTTCAAATTTAGCTCTCAAGCGGAGGAGCCGTCTCAAATCGTGTGGATTAATTAGCGCAATTTGTTCATTTCTCTGATAGGACATAACCAGTTTCTATTATATTTATGCCTTTCCATAATTTCATGAGACTTGAACAGAATGCGATTAGTCCATCTCAGATGGCAAAAAATAGAACAAAAAGCTACTTAGATTTGTTCCTGCACAGAAGCAACACTGATTTTCGATCTGCACTACATCGACCGAAGAAGATAAACTTCCGTTGTAGGTCTTGATTGAGCCTGTGGAAATGATACTGACAGCTTCACTGGTGACTGACGTCTTCGGAGCCTGAAAATATTCGAAAATGCTCGTTATTCAGCTTTTTGAATTACAAAAGAAAATTATAGTGCAGGAAAAACAAAGTGATATAACTGACATTGGCACGAAGGGAACTTTTTGTCGGCACCCTGAGCTCTAAGCTTCTCACGGTCAGAGCTCGGGTCAAAGGGCTCTAGGGCTCTCCCTCGTGGAAACTAATGATTGAGGCCGCCCGGAATCGGGTCTTCGCCGGCGCATCGCGATATACAGTAAGGATGCAGTGAGTATCGTCTACATATGAAAAAAGTCGATATACCGGCTATGACTTATTGACTTTCTTTCCATAACCGGCCTTTCAACTTTTGACGAGAAAGCTACGGCTAGCACTGGTGCTAACTGCAACCCCATACTTGTCCTTCACTCGCTTATAGTATCCTTCTGACCACCTAAAACCGTTGCACTTTGGGCATTCGCCGAGCAGCAATATGGTCGTGAAAATTCAGACTGACATGGTGTTCGGTTACTATTTCAAAGACTGCTTTCATTGCACTAACCCTTGGCGCATTTGTGTATAATGGAGTCGAGCCAAATGATTCCTAAATTATAACCTGGCTTCACGCTGTTCGATGTTTGGAAGACTGTCTGGACAAACAGCAAGGGTTGTACCAAGACGAGGTTGATAAACTAAGTAATCCTATTGGGGCCACCGACACAACTTATAATGTGTCTTACTTTAGAGATATTCAAAACTTATACATGTGGGCAATCTTTGGGAATTGATGAGTTCTTGTTGGAAGTGCACGACCGGGCATATGGGTCGGTCTAATACCAGGTCTAATTCGCCAACGTGGCAGTGTCCGTCCATACATTGTTCGAACACCGATTGCCTGCCTCGTGATACCCTTTGGGGCGCAAGGTGTTTGAGGTGTATTTGAAGATGCAATCGTGTCATTGTTTTGTTCACAACTTGTGTAAGCACTACTAACACCTTCTTTTGTCACTCACGCTAATTTTGTTGCACCGAGCTGCGACATTTCGCTTAGTTCCTTGTGTCCCTTCCTTAAGGATCGAGTCAGATTTAGTGGAGCGCGCAAAATCGGTAAAAGTGGTGAATAGGTGAAACTTGCAGCGATAACAACATCGGACTTTTGTGGCGGGGCTGCAAATACGCGGCAGGAAATTTCGACAATGTTGGAGGAAGCGCGATAAAATCGCTTGCTGAGCACGGCCGGAAAGCGAGTTAGCTCATTTTGGCCTTTTAGATGATGACGAAGGGTTGGCAACTTCATCACCACTTTATGCACTATACCATGGCAAAGTGATTATCTAGGAGCATGACTGGGTCCTGAATTGGATACAGCGAATACGTCATTTGAAAAGTTTAGGCTTCCAGTGACCGTAATTACCTTCAGTATTTGAAAGAATAGAACCGCAAGTACATAGGTTTCGACACACACTATCCTACTCCGAAAGCATCCAGTGACAATCGCTTGCAGAGTAGTTTTAGCAACACAATTCGTAATACATGAAAACGAATGATCACCATTCTTTTTGAGCGCAAGAGTCAGAATTCTTCCTGTGAAGCTTCAGTGCATGGGAGTCTCGAAGAATTCTTTTCTTTTAATTGCAATGAAGTTTGGGATCACATGATGCTGCCAACAACGCTGTGCCGACGAGACAAGACTTTCTTTACCGTTCTGAAATACTCAGCTATTACAAAGTTCAGAACGGTCCACGACCGACTCTCAGATGATCATGGCATGGTCAACGGTACTCTTCTCATGGTGAGTCTTAACTTCCAACCCCACTCCTGACATCGTAGCTCTGACCATTTCGAGCAGACGAGAATATTTATGCTGACGTCGAATTCGAATTTTGTATGTTAGCAATTTTTTCTGAAATTCTTCAGCTCAGTCTGTCCTCCGGGTTCGGACCTGACCGCGATGTGATAACTCAGACCAGCTTCCTATCACTTCTACATACTCCTCAGCAACTGATATTCTGCTTTGCTTTTTAACAAAAAGTCCGTGCGCCGTGTACTGTTTCACGCAGGCCATCTTCCTCTCGCTTTTAATCCCTGTTTTCCCTGCATGAAATCATGATACACACCTCCCTTACTTAACAAAAAAGTGATGAGATTTTAGAGGCGAAGGACGCATATACTTCAATTTCAGACATATTCTTGGCGAGTGTTCAATGGGTGCGGAAATTTTCTCGAAGAACCAAATGTTCAGTATATCCTTCCTAAAAACGATTGAAAATTGGTAGCTCCAACTATGTACGGTACAATACAGGCTCCAAAAATTTTTCAACGTGATGTTCCATTTATACCCAAGAATGCATGCAGGGATTTGGGACTACATTGCACCTGCATTTATCTTACAACCGGCTCAGGTGAAAACAACGCTTACACAATTTTTTTGCTCTCAAAATAATTCGCTCATCTGCCTGAAGTAAATATGTATGTACATTTAAACTCACTGCTCTTCCCTTCTACATGCTGCTTTTTTGCAAGAAGTCATTATAATTCACCCTTTTCATCCTACGAAAAATCACTAGATTTGAAAAGACCAAAGAAAAATGGGAGCAATTTTAATCAACCTAGCAATAACAAATTCAGAGCAATGTCAATTTGATATTTCATAATGTTCAGATTAATATAGGCAAACAAATACACTCTCCTATGTAGGGTTACATAGAGAAAACCATCAGAGGAACATGTAAACACCAAAAATTACATTGGTGCAAGTGTTAATACCGTTCATTAAAGCGAACCACTGGTCCTGAAAAATCACTTTCAGTTAACAGCTTTCAGTGAAAGGAAAAGCACATGCTCAAAAAAAGCAGAACAACTCAACAACCGTGCGAGGGAAATAAGGCTTCCAATCACGTGATGACTTCGAAGTACAGAGAAGCATCAGTGAAATTTTATTTAGGAAGGCGAACACGAATGAAAGTGTCACAGAAACCTACCTCATAGTTCGTACCCACCCACGCGAACAATTTCGTTTTCGTCAAGAAACGGCTGACAAAATTGATGACAAAGAAAAATGCGTCCATAGCAGTACATATTAATACCTAGAAGACAAAGTAATAATAGACATTTAGTGATGAACAAAACAGAGAAAGGCGAAAAGTACTCAAAAAACAGGTAACCATGAGGACAGCCATGAAAGGGGTGAGTTAATTTGTGTCCAATTTTACTTTGTTCGCACCTTCCTCGCACCTCCACTCACTCGCCTGTGGGGAGGCCTCGCTTAATTAGTTAGCTGCTGACCTCTCTGCCAGACCAGACTCAGATGTAGCAATGAAAAAGAAAACAAAGAAATAATATGCAACACAAATCATGCAACCCAGAAAGCTGTGCAAGTTGTAGTAATCATAGGAAAGAGGGGAGGGGGGTGAAGATGTAGTTGGAGGAGGCCAGAGCTCTTTTAATTCACTGAAGGCTAGAGAGCAGAGGAAGAGGGGTAGTCATCTTCACTTGTTCTTAGAGATGCTTTTCAGCCTTTTAAAATGTGCAATACTAATACTAATACTAATACTAATAATAATAATAATAATAATAATAATAA